TTCCATACATAGATTAGTGGTCACCATAGTTGTTTCCATACATAGATTAGTGGTCACCATAGTTGTTTCCATACATAGATTAGTGGTCACCATAGTTGTTTCCATACATAGATTAGTGGTCACCATAGTTGTTTCCATACATAGATTAGTGGTCACCATAGTTGTTTTCATACACAGATTAGTGGTCGCCATAGTTGTTCTCATACACAGATTAGTGGTCACCATAGTTGTTTCCATACATAGATTAGTGGTCACCATAGTTGTTTCCATACATAGATTAGTGGTCACCATAGTTGTTTCCATACACAGATTAGTGGTCGCCATAGTTGTTTCCATGCGAAGATTGCTCACCACATATGTTTCCATACACAGAATAGTACCCACCACAATCTCTTTTTCATATTCATATTTATAACACCCACAGTTTCATTTCGCACCTATGTACATTAGTATTTCCAGGTTCGAACCATACATTTTGTATTGGTCAGTGCCTATACTTCTACTCTGAGGAGGAATTGTTGTGGGGATAGGTTCGTCATGTTATCGGTGTAATACACTGATGGTCAGCATAGTGTACACTCTCACTCAGTAAGGGCACTGTCTGTTCAAATATGTGCTGGAGCTTACGGCAACTCAGTGTCCCCGATTTAAAGGAAGCGATGCTTTGGCTTCCTGTATCCAATATTCACATTATCCGTGTGTGTGATAAAAACAAACAAAATAATGATATTCATCTAATAATACATATTTATTAATACACTTAAATTAATGTACAGTTAAAAGGTAAAGTCAAATTGTACATCTAACAACTTATCGCCGCCATTATCATGAACATCACATTCGCAGAGCATCCTTCATCAGTTGCGCCCTCTGTCGAGTCGGTATGGTTATTACAAGTCGTAACCTACCAATAGAGGGCGAAATTCGCGCGGCTTGTACAGGCCTCGCACAAAAGTTGGAATTTGTATTCTGAGTGTAACTCTCCATTCTTGCTTTTCAAACTTGTTTGTTGAACAAAGTACATTTTTATAGAGATCTTAGTAAACACTAATTGTACTAGTTTGTTAATTTGGATTAATTTAAAGTACTATGGAGGTAATGATATTTTAAAAGAAAAATTTGTAATACCTATTTCACTTCAAGTTCAACACTCATACTGTTAAAGGTTTAGAACACACAACGTCCTGATTCTGTGATGTGAATATGCATTTGGGTGAATCTCAATGTTGTATGTTATAAATACCTATTGACATACAATTTTCGGGTAACGTCATATATTTGTATTCCTCTTTAAAATATGCGAGTCACCAATCACATCAATTTGCGCTTGGCCTATGTTCTACGGAGGAAACACACATATGCTGTTGCCTGCATGGTAAGTCAATATGTGTATACATTTGCACATTTAATATGACAATTACACGCTAAAAGCAAACGCTTGGTAATAAATACAGCACTACTATATATATCTAATATATCTAGTGATTTTACACGCATATATAATGTATATTCCCATTTCAGTTAAGTCTATTTTGGTCAATAATGCTCAAAACATTAAACAATAATAATATTCGTTGTGTTAGTGAATATTAATTACTGTAATAACAAATTATAGCGTATGGCATTAGCAACAAAAACATTCCTGGTGAATAACACACTTAAACTATCTAATAAGGTAGAACCACAAACAGATACCACTAATATGGATCGAAAGATCGATCCTTTATAATAATGTAGTATGGGAAAGTATAAACCCACATATGTGGTTCAGAATAATCTTCACTTCTGTTTCCCGATCACATAGCGCTACGAAAATTTACACAATGAAAAAAAGACATCTAACTTTATTAACTCCTCTGGCGGCAGATTTTTTCGACAAACTTTAGGTGTAACATTTTGCAAATTTTATATATTTTTACTTCTTTTTAAAGTTTAGACCAAGTGGACATAATTTCACAGATTAAAATTTTACGTTTTGAAAGGTTACAAACGTCAATATGGCGCGAAAAGAGTTAATGTATTGTGTTATGATACAATTGTGACGATGCTAGACGCCAACTATTATAGTACATTATAACAGTGAACTGAAGTTCGGTTTAGTATCGAACAAAACTGACCGTTTAATCCCATAATTTTCAACTATGTATGCATTTATGTCACATTTCTATATAACCGACATTTCAATTTAAGTTATTTCGCTACCAATAAAAGAAAAATTGATCACGGTAAATTATTCAGAAATTGTTATACATGTAAGACATTCATATTTAGTATTACGGAGAAAGAATGACGTGTTTTCAAGAAACCATATGTAAAATAATCTAAAAAGCGGCCATTTTGGAGAATTTTCCATAGGGATTCATGTAAACACATTATTTCATGGATAACTTATACTAATATTCAAAATTCGCCATTTCTCATCTCGGCCATATGTAGCTTCAGAGCACTACATACCATTTCTAAGCATCAGTCTCCGAAATATGGTGGAATGTTTCTGTCATAGAAACCAAATAAACTACTCAAAAATAAGCATTTTTGATCAATTTGCAAGTTCCTTTCGTGGAAAAATTAGTTTGGTAATATATAATGTTTTATTTTGAACATTAAACTAATCCAACCCTCAACCTGAATTTAGAGAATTTACGTTTTTCTAAACTTTAATAAGTGCACTTTACTATTATACTTTTTTAAATATAATCGTTCATATAATATGTAATATTTGATTTATTATACCATATCCCCGGGTGCCACACGGGATTACTGTACTGCAAATCGTTTCTATGCACAAAACTCAATATCATATTTCTAAATATAAGTTCATAATTTGTGACCATATTAGGGCATATAAGCTCTGCAATAGCATTATTTTCAATATTAGTATACTAAACAAAGCATTATTTTCAATATTAGTATACTAAACAATTAACATACCTATTTTAAATTGATAGCATTTCAAAAAATAAAGCATGATTCACCCCATTTGTTCACACATAAAATATTTTATAATTTTGTTACCGAGACTGGTAAATTTCTATTAAGTATTATGTTCAATAAATAAGTAATGTATACTATTGTTGCAACCATGCATAACGGTAATTATTCAAGGGTCTACACGATTTTTCGAAATTCTAGTGTCCCATGTCTAATTTCCATATAATTGCTAACCGTCACGTCACAAACTCTACCATTGAAACATATTTTTTTCTCGATAGCGAGTATTATTATTCAGCTCAGTGACTGTTATTAAAATTATTAACTCTAAAAATTGTTGTTTTACATTCACTGCATGTGATTATGTCTTATGCAGACTTTGACGATTTAGCAAAATATTATATTTCCCGTAATTAGCAACTTAATTTAAAACGAACGTTTTCTCGAACAAAATATATCACCGACCTCACTCTAACATTGTCAACACTCAGATTTGTATTAATTGTGGGTAGTTTTATCTCTCTAAATAAATAAATAAGCCCAACTCAAAACTGAAGTAAGTAACTGCTACAAACCAATTATAACTTTATAATAAGGTTTTAAATATATATATCATAACAAGCACATGTAAATGACAGGAGATTAGCCGTTCATATTCTTATAGATTCCAACTATTATCCATCTACTAATTATATAAACGGATCACTGTAATTAGTACATAGGCGGAAAGTTCCATAGAAAAAAGTATATTTACAATTATACCGAAACTGTTTTTGAAATGTTGTTTTCACCTTGTTCACACATTTGAAAATCGATGTATTCACAATAGTCATGTCTCAGAGACGTCATTTCCCAGTGACACTGTGAGCACGCAATACACTTGGTTTGTAATGTTATATCACGTGATCACAAATAACTAATAATTGGTGGCATTCTAACCCTGATTTCCAACAATGTGTGTAAGTGATGCAGTCGTGAAAACTAATGACCTCAATCAACACTAATATAAACTTTCATAAATTATAAATTTATAACCTTGATACCCATGCAAACTTTAAAATTATTTTCTCGTATTTTCTATTTTACACATCAAACCATGGAGGTATAAACTGTTTATACCTCCATGATCAAACTGTCTTATTTGAGGAAATAACGCAGATATAAACAAACGTACATCACGTGAGAAAATGGTCACATTATAAACTGTGGTTAATCATACAAGTGCCGTAACCATCACGTAGCCATGCTCTCAATAATTAGTACTACGGGTGTCTTGAACTGGCCAATGGGCATTCTAGTATGACGTAACCTGGTTATGACGTGGTATGTGAAATAACTTTGAGTATGCGACTTATGTACTACAACCTAAACTACGCGTACTCGCAACTGCAATATGATTGGGCGAAATTCCATAATTCGCGACAGTTGTGGTACATTTTTTTAAAGATCACTGTCACCAGATGCTAACGGGCATAGATGCCGCAACCAGCACGTGGTCACGTCGTGACATGGTGTACGTTTGTTTGTTTCTTGGCTTATTAAATGTGAGACTGTAACTCGAATCTGAACCTGAGTCAGGATATTCTTATCTTCTTAGGTTTCTTCATTTTCTAACTGCTTTTTGGGTTGTGATGTGACGGTCATATAAGTGTCGATACCATGACCCAACCAGGCACTCTCCGTGTGGTGGAATTCATCAAACCCTGCGTAGTTGGTGAAGACATTATCAAAGCTGCGATCTTTGTTGAATAACAAAAACACCTTCTTCCACTTGTCCAAGTCAGGGTATAACTCCTTGACACGATGTGCGGTCAAAAAATTGTTCTTCGCCCAATGTGGTCGAGCCCTGTATTTCTCAAACAGGAAATTCTCCAACGATCGGTGGTATTCATCAACTGCATAAGCCCCAGGTAAAAATGGCACCTAAAGTGTGAATATTTTGCTACGTAATTTAAAAGCGTAGAAATAACCAACAAACAAGTCACAATTCCATCAATAGCATCACACATCATTTTGTCCTGCTAATTACTTATTCGTGTTCGACTCGGAATAAAAGTGCAAATGATAAAAACGATCTTTTTAAATAATGTTAAAATAATAGTTTATTGGCGTCACTGGAGCTGGTGTAAATCAGAGAAAAATAAAACTCGCATACATCTGTATTGCCTGATTTAGACGTATTTCCGCGCTTTTTTTCTATTGTAAAACGACTCAGTCACAACAAATGATCAAACACACACACACACACACACACACAATGAGTACAGGGCACAGTGTATTAAAAAATCGCTGATTACACGTATTGATGAAAATGTAATACATCCTACCTCGATATAGCAGTACTCATCGCACGTTGTACCGTCCGGTCTGTTTCTATTGGCTGGGCTCAGGTACAAATCATCCGCCTTCACAAAACGTACGTAGATCGGCAGAAGACTGTACATTGCGTGTTCTCCTGCATAAAACTGTGCCATTTTGATGACGTTAGCCAATGCGTTTTCTAAATTCTCCAATGGAATACAGTACTCAGCGGTCTTTACGCTAATTAGAACAAACGTAATTAAAGGTTTGAATGTGAATTTTAATCAAAATAGACTGAATATGACCAAATATGGTGAAGTTTATCATCTTACAATGACCTTCTTGGTTCCACATTTGAACCCTTATGCAAATTGATTGATAGAAACTTACTGAATATTTCCATTGGTGAAGGTTAGTACGTTGTACCACTTGTGAATATACGGCAACTTCCGGGCAAAGTTGTTTAAACCAAAGTCTGTTATTATTGGTATGCATGAAGTACAGCAACACTGTGCACAATGCTGCAAAAATGCTGCCGAACAGTCCGTCTATAAATAGAATTAGAAGAGAGACATATCCCATAATATAACCACACATTTCTAGTAGTGTCTACGCAATTTTCAGAATTTGGCGGGAATTCATATCGAACAGTTAAATCGCAACGTAACCCAGTGCGCGTTCTATAGAACACGGCACATCGGGAACTATGGTCGGGGACGATAACGCCGTGACCGTCACGCACGACGTGTTTAAAGGGTGGTAGTCGTCGCGCCACGCATACGTGAGACTGTTGCGCAGATCAACGAGTACAAACCGAGATGTTACCACGCTTTAATAAGGTATTCCAGGTGATTGGAAAGTATCGAAGGAGTCACCAGCGGTAATTAGTGCGCCCAGGTTAAACATCATACTTGTGATTTCCATTAGAAGAACGCATTGGATTGTGGGAAAATCAATGTTTATCAACACAAATGTTGCACATGCGCAGGGCGACGACTGCCGTCCTTTAATGTGGGTTCCATAGCGTATGAAATAAATCACCTGTCAAATAACAGTGAAATAGGTGAATATGAATTATGATGCCATTGGCAACAAGCAGGATACACAGAAATCTTTGTACTCACCTGTACAGCCTGACAGGCCGACTTGCCGCGGCAACCAGTGCAACAAACTCCACATTGAAGATCAATACAGTGATCGCATTGACAACAACCATGGTATTCGACCTCTTCCCCTGCTAAGAACACGCCCTTCACATAATTACGCTTATTGCAACACCGTTTCCTAGGAAACGGATTGACGAAGAAGGAAAAGTATTTCCCATTATGAGTATACATTTCTTTAATTTCCTTCGGGATCCGGAACTCTTCTACATATTCACCAGGCCGTGGGCAGTCGATGGTGAAAATTTGTCTGGTCTCTTCGATGTTGAACATTGTCGTGCATTCGAAGGTTACCGAGTAGATCACCCCCAGCGAACCTATCCCGACGGCGACAGCATTGAACACGTCGCTGCTGACGAGCTCTATAACAGGATCACCATATGAAGCACCATTTACTCTGTCTTCCACAACACTGAATTCCTCGTCTGTTTCACCTTCCTCGGGTTTTCTCACTTTTAATTGGATTCCCCCAGCAATGATTATGTGAAATCCATACACGAAGTTAGACTATAACAATTAAGAACATAACTATTAGAAAAATAACCTTGATCGGTCAAAATGTAGGTGTAAATTTTGTTTTCTCCAGTCTAGTTACATAGATCAGTGGAATAATAAATGCGATGATGAGAAAGCAAAGAACGCTATTTGAGAAGCAAAAACGTGTCTATTTACAGTCAAATTAATGTACTGTCCATACTAAAAGTGTGGTTCATTCAGTAAGTTGCTTTCTGGCTATTAGCACTCAGATATCTAACTCAGTGAAGACCCTTATTTCATTTCTACTTTGAAATCAAGTTTAACGCTAAAAATATGCAAACCCTGATACGTTAAATAATTGCACTATGTTATTAATACAAACAAATACACGATCACTACACACGGGAAAACTCGTTACTACTCGGGTCTAAACAAAACAATGTGAAAGGTATGATATACAAACAATAACCCCGTTGTGAAACAAAACTTATATCATCATTTGGTCTCACGAAAACGATTATTGTTAAATTAAAGCGCGGTGGTCGTCGCGCAGCGCGTGTTCGAATTTCATGTGAATAAACAAAGTATTTTACACGCGTTGTATACGTCGCTGTGAGTCCCATATCGAACAGTACGCGGCACGACGAAATTAACCAAACAACATAGTATACTGTTTTGGTGTTTGGGTCCATACAAGATATTTATATTTATAAATGTATAACGTTGACGTATTTTATTTACATTAAAGCGGGGAAGTCGTCACCTGCGCATGCGTCAGATGACCCTAGCGTGTCATTGTTTACGAACAAGCGTCTACCCATGAGCCTTTGCGTTTTTAGTGTGTGTTGTCATCGTCGCTTGGGACTGAATTCCCGCGCGTGCGCAGGTGACGGCCCTCCCGCTTTAACACAGTTGCCCGATACAAAAAAAAAGAAAAAAAGAAAAGATTTTTAGGTCCTACACTATTTGTTGAGTCGCATTTGTGTGTAAGTGGATTAATCTAAATGCTTATAATTGTTATCCATTCCAGTTTTATTTATACGTGATCAATTTAGGCATTACACTATTTTGCTAACTTGCCATTGTTTTGGTTCCAATCATAGATCCATGTGTCGATGTGCTGACAATACCGGCTACAGTCTGTCCAGCGTAGTTTCCCATAGCCGGGAAGGCAAGGCCATGATTCTTGTCCAACTCTCGAATGAAGCTGTGCACTGTCTTTCCACCTTGCACGGTAACGTGGAACACGGATAGGTCTGATTCAGACTGCCTCACATCTAATATGCGTTCAAGGTCAGTCATATCTGCATATATACATCATGATTTGTGTTACTAATTATTAACACCAGAACTATGACCAGACAATGTGCAGTTTAGTTTTAATCATTGACAAATTTATAATAGAATTTATTTGTCAGTATAGATCGAGAACATGCGTTAGCAGATTAATGTGCCTTTTGGTAGAATATCGATTTGATCTCGTTCTTTCAGAGCATTTTATTATATAGAATTATGTGGTACTTTTATTGTTTATTATCAATATCATATGCTGACAGAATTACGCATGTTTTCGAACCATAATGCCTGGCCACCCAATTTGTAAGAGAATATTGGGAGA